ACTTTTTTTTTTTTTAACCTGAAACTGCATTTTCCAGTAAATAGACACTTCACCTGGAAAGCAGTGCTTGGCTTGAACTCTGAGTTGTGTCATGAAACGCAAGCTCCTCTCCCAGCAGGCAGAAGCTGACAGAATGAGAGCACGAGACAACCAGGGAAGAGGAAGGACGTGGGAATCGGTTACTTGAGGAGGAACATGAACTTTATTACATTAGGCTGAAGACTGAGAAAACAGATCTGCAATGATGCAATGGTTTGCTGTTGGCAGCAATGTAATACTGAAAGACGGCAGTTTAGGGCAGCCATGTATCAAGTAATCTCTCCTGTCAAACATGCCATCTGTAGGAAGGACGAAGCTCCTATTTCAGTTAAGGGAGATGGTGACTCTTCCTGCCTTAAATGTTATTTGCAAGTCTTCTGGCTTCGTTTGTGCCTGGGCACGAACTGGTTATTGTGATGGCTGCCTGCAAGTTTGAGCCTGGAGAATTGAAATATTCCCAGGGCCCACCAAGCTCTAACAGCTGCCAGGAGCAATAACAGAAGACGGACACATGCTACAGGCAGTGAACCAGTGGCTGACATTGCCAGGCAGGTGAAGTGTGGGGAAACCAGCTCTCTGAAGCAAGGCAGCATCCTTGCTGAGCATGAGGGAGCCTAGGCACTGTGGCAAGTAGATTGCTTCTGACTCTGGGGGCTTGAGACCCTGCTTTAGGCACTCTATACAACCCTGCTTACTGAGCTGAAGTTTTGCTAACATTGCTTCCTCAGTGCAGGGTTTCTGGAGGCACAACCATTCCTAGGTTGTATAAAGCAAGCTAGAAACCTTCCCAGCGCTGCTGTTGTCATCCATCCCCTTGCTGCCCCATACTTCACCTCTGAGCAGATACCAAGAAGTGACACTATCTTGCAGATGTATCAGCTTCACCCACGCTCCTAAGCAAAAATCCTGACATGCCTGTGCCTTAGCTGAGATATCACTGTGCACCATCAGTCAGAGCTTTGGCTCTTGACTAGTTGTCCCCTCTCAGCAGGACTAAGTGGGTGATTCTGGGTGCTTCTGCAGAAGGGTACCCTTGAGCAGGAAAGGACAGAGGGAGGGGAGGGCAAGGCTAGGGCTCCCTGTTTTGAGAGGGTCAGTGCATTAGATTTTCATTTCAACTGTTACAGTCTCTTAGCCTTGCTTGTACTCCCTAGAGCATCCACATGCTTGTGTCCATCAGAAAGGAACTGAATGTTTTCTATCAAATCAGTTGCTCACTTGGGAAGCAGATACTGGGCAGCTTCACGTTCTTTTTTCCCCTACAGATTTCTGTTGGACTGGAGGAAGCCTGTTTTGCTTTGTGTATGTGGGTAATAACACTGAGTTTCTGTCTTCCTGTACAATGAAAGGCCTTATGCTGCCTTTTCACTACATTCTTTCTGTATCTTTTAAGACCCATTAGGCGGGTGCTAGCTTGTCCGTGGGATCTTGATCTGTTGTCTCTTGATCACAGTGCTGTGAGAGCTTTGTACTGTGATAGGATCACTTGGAGTCTTCAGTCTTGTTGGTGAGCTGTCTGGGACAGTGAGAAATATGATGGCAAGGTTGTCTGACACCCATCCTGGCTTTTTAGCTGTTCCAAGTATGAAGAAGACAAGAAAACAGGGATGCTTGGGTCCATGTTTTGGCTTCCCTGGCTCACCCGCTGCTTGCTGTGGTTGTCTCATTCCAAATCCATTTCCTTGTGGATTTCACAACGAGAAAAGCATTGAGGCCTTCGAGGTATTTTTCACCTGAAGGATTCCTAGAGCCCACATATAGATGCTCTGGACCATTGTCTCACATACGCCCTATTAAAGTCAATGGGAGGCTTCAAGATCAGGCATTGTCAGATTGCCTTGTTTTCTTAGCCCCATGCCTGGATTTGGAAGCTATCAAGTGCTGCTGCCACAAAGATGCAGCAAACAAATGCAGATGTTTCCATTTTAACGAGAAGTCCTATAAAGAGCTTGTAACTACCCCTTGACTCTGCGGGATGATAAAATTGACAAAGATCTGCTTGTTCAGGGCTTGTAAAAATGCCTTGTCTGAGAAGAGCTGTTAAGATTTTGCTATTTTGTTTTGTGCTTCAATGTCCCTTATGTCTCAGTGGTAAATAGGACCTGAAAGTAATATGTATTCCTTTTAACAACTGGAATAGTAATACATGTTGCAATTTGTGTCCAACCATTCTAAGTTCATGACAGATGTATGATCATTTCCGAGAGAAAAAATATACAGCTGCCTAAATGAGACTTCTTGCAGACTAAAAATACCTTGCCTTATGCATTTGCTTATTAGGTTTTTCTCATTTAAAACCGTTACCAGTCATACCTGACTAGGCAGGGGCACAGATTTCTACACGGTCTGGTGATACCAGAGCTTTTCTGCAACAAATTGCAGCATGCTCCACCCTGCGCCCCCCCGTGGCTTCACAAAAAAATTTGTCTGTTGTTTCTCTGCAAATCCTGTTACTGAAAAATCTGGAGTCAATATATGCTTAAGTAGGCCCTTGACCTCAGGACTCTGCTTAATGACAGCACCATGAAAATAAAAGCATCAAAGCCCCCCAATTTGTAGTGCTCTATCAGAGAGGAAAATGTAAATCCACAAATCCCCTGCATGAGCAGCCATACGTGGGAGAAAAAGAGCAGGGATACTCCCTCTCCTCCCAGTAAGTAATCGTGTGAGGCTTCTTCAGCTCTCATTTCACAAGTCTCCATTTCTAGGACAATTCTGAGTAGGTGGCACAGCTTATCAGGAGGTTTCTCTTTTTTTTTTTTCTTTCTTCTTTTTCTTCCACTGCATTAGGCACATGGCAACACAGCTTTGCATATGGCAGCTGCATTGCCTCGTGACAAGAACCAGAAAGAAATCGTCCAGTTGCTCCTTGACCATGGGGCAGACCCGAGCATCCGAAACTTAGACAACGATCAGCCAATCCACATGGCTCCTTCTGGAAAAGCTGGGGATCAGGTACATGATCTGCATTGCTGCTGCTTCCTAACACATCTGTGCACACCACAGCTGTCTGTCCTCACCAGGAGAACAGTGAGGACAAGTCGTATGACATGGGTCTGACATTGCAGTGGTGTAGGCTTGGGGGTTCCCCACTTCAGTAAATCTGTAATTGAGGAGCACAAAGCAGGCATTAGCTGGTACTCCAAATACATCTGGGGAGGTATCAATGTATAGTTCTTTCATAATGGCAGCAAATCTCAAGGGATGATCTGGTTTCATGCCTACAGGTATGAAAAGGCTCCTGGAGCTCACTGTAGTCTCTGCTATGTTTATATGTGTATTTAGTTACACATATACATGTATGTAAGTGTGCCTGTGTATGTATATATTGGGGTGTCTGCATGCATGGTTTCAGATGGTATGTTATCAACTTCTACATTTTTTTGGCAGGTTAGGCATTTGCTGAAGAAGGGGAAAGTTGCATCTGCATTCATTTCCTGTCACCGAAATGCCAGATCCTAGGTTGCCTGCAATTTCTGGAATGGCTTCAACTTCAGCTTGCTCATTGCACAAGGCCTCTAAGAAAAAATGTGGGGACGGTTAACCAACATGTCCCTGCTTCTAGAGTCTTTAAACTAGGGTGGGATGACAGTATTTCTCAACCTGTGGACCATGAGTAGCATGTAAGATATCAGAAGATGAGCTTTCAAATGGTTGAAAACTTTATCTTGTTAACAAAGAATACTAATAAACCTCAAGCATTGCTTGCAAGCAAGGAGGCAAGCAACGCAAATGGCTGTTACATAAATAAGCAAATATTGGAAGTACAGCCAACCTTTGATTTGGTGGCAACTGAAATCCATGGTGGTGATGGAACACAAGACAGTAGTTTGGCTATAAAAGTTTGAGAAATACTGCTCTGAGACGTGCTCCAGCTGTGCCTCTTGTTAGGTCCTGTACAGAGGTACCGGTTGGAATGGTGAAGCCTTTGTGATGTGCAATTACCTCCATTGTTCCTGCTAGCTTGGGAATGCAGGAACCTGAGGGGAGGGAAAAGACTGGATGGAAGAGGTCAGGTCAGCCTGAGGAGTCATCCATGGGTGTATTTCACCTGAGAGAATGGACTTCTGAACTCAAGAGCTCCAAGTGAGGGTTCCTGCAAGCTGCTACTACCCCATTTCTTAGCACTTCATGGAAGAAAGCTGAAGCAGCTGTCCATTGCCACTGCCTCTCACCCCACCCCAAGAAAAGAAAACAAATGCTTGTAAAAGCAAGTACATGGGGCAGGTTCTCAGCAGCACAGGTTCATGTGGCTCCTGAGAGTTTCCCAGCAAAGGGATTCCTCTTTGAGACATCTGATCCAATCCAAGCCTCCAGCTCTGATGGCAAAGAATAGATCTGGAAGCACCTCAGAGTGGGAAGCTGAACCCTCACCTGAGCTAATGCCTGTGTAGGAGACAGAGGCTTCCTTTGAGTCTTAACAGCTTTTAGGCATGGACAGGGTAGAAAAGCTTTGAGCTGTGTGGGCCTGTACACAGCAGGGTCAGAGTGCAATGTGGTAAGTGCTCTCCTATTCCCATTCTTATCTAAGGGGGCGTTTTAATAGATTCTTCTTATTCTTTCTGTGAAATGATTTGTGAATTGCTGTGCAATCGACTGGCAACAGTGTCTCTGCCGGGTCAATAGGATTGAAGGTAGATGCCTGAAGGGAGTGAAAGCCATGTTTTGGCAACCCTTTCACAGAGGGTGTCTCATCTTCAGTATACGTTCTGAATTATAGTTCGCTGATTTCTCAATGTTGCACAAGTTTTTTTTACTAACAGGACTGAACAATAAGATGAAGGGCAGATGTCTTAAATCACTGCAGTAACTGCCTTGATCACCCACTGACTAACTCAATGGGATGGGCTTTTCTAAAGCGCTTGTCAGTCTTGCAGACCTGGACTGTTTAAACAACTGTTTAGCAGACTTGAACAAAAGCTCTTAAGAAATGCAGCCTCAACTTTCTCAGCCCTCCTCTCTGCTGTTCTGCTGTTGCTTCTCACTACATCATATCTACAAACCTGCCAACATCTGCTGACAAAAAAAAGCAGAAATGTATTTGCATGTGTTTGCATAAATTTGCATGTATCTGGGCATAAGCCAGCAAAAGCATGTGCTTTCTTACTTTGAAGGGATGTTATAACAAGCCCTGAATTGAGTGGTAACTGCATTGGTGAGTTAGTACTGTGTGTCAAGACAAAACGGTCAATAAAATATGTTTCTTGAACTTGCGAGCAACAAAACTGTAAAACTGTGACCAGCATGTGGCATGTGATGCACTAGGGAAAATGTAAAAAGCTTTTTGCCATCTAGAAATATCTATGAGATGACAGAAGTCCTTTTGCAGCAAGTGAAAAAAATACATGAGCTGTTTTCTAAAGTGGCTTATCTCTTTATTGTTCCATCTGCCTGCTGTTGGATGTTTAATGCAGAGCAATGCCATCAGTGACTTGTAGTCTGTAAACATCACCGTCTCCAGAATATCAGGGAAAATATCGGTGTGGGGAGGGATGGATGTAGCTTCATTCAAAGCATCACCCTGGCAGCCTGTGTTACTCAGAGTTGATAGATGAGATTTGCAGAGGGAAGATTCCATGACCAACCCAGGAAGGATTCATTCTCTCTACAGGCACATCTGTGTTCAGCTTCCCAAAGCTCATACATCAGGGGCCTGCTCTGAAGCCAGCCACAATCAACAAGCTGTTCATATTGTCTTTGACAGTTGGAGGCTGCTGCTTCCCCATGCATGTAAAGCACCTTTCCCTTTCCCTGTCAAGCCAGCCAGTTCCTGGCCTATGTATCAAGAAAACCCCTTTTAAGGCTCAAAGGCAGCCTGAAAAGCATTAAGTCTTCTGTGCTGGGGTGAATTTCATTGATTTGAGCAGTATCTTAGTTCACAGTTAACCCCTCAATTTTTTATGACTGTTTCAGTGGAAATATAACTTTTATAACCGTAGCAGTACTGGCAGTGTGTGATACCCCTTTATTTGCACAGTTTATCTCTTCCTACCTGTGCCTTTGGATAAGTTGCTAATAACAAAGGCTTGTTATCACCAAACAAATGTTTTGAAGTGGTACCATAGAAAAGTCGCCAGTTGGTTGGCAAGGAAAACTTTTTGATCAAATACTCCATGCAACTGGCAAAGAACCTGAAAATAAGAACCTTTTATTTTCTTTATAACTGCGGGTTACTTCTGGAGTTATTCATGGCTTTCGTAAGAATGGGGTGATCCTCACTTTTGTGTAAACACATGTTTATATAGGCTGGCAGAACTTCACTTGGCAGGGACTGATGAAATGCCAGCATTTCAGTAGTGCTGTGCCAGCTCCGTTGGAGATATGACCCAAGCTACTTTCCTTTAACCCCCCCTTTTTTTTTTTTTTTTTTTGGGGGGGGGGGGCGGGGAATAAAGGGGGGAAAGAATATGTTCTTCATAGCCAGAAAATGCACAATCAACCTTTGAATAGTCCTCCTCTGTTGTTTCTTTTCCTTTCTTGTGTCAACAAGACATCATTGTGTCAACAGTCAGCAAGCTTTTACTTGCACTGCATCTGTCACCTGGAGCTATTGACATGGAGTTGGGGAATGGTGTCTAAAACATGTTTGCAGACCCTGGCATGGGGGATTGCAAAACAACTGGAGAAAGAGCAGCAGAGAAACAGGAAGAGGCTGCAAGGGATGGAGGACAGAGCTACTTACTTAATGGAAGCTGTTAGAGTCCAGGGACCCCAGTGCATAGAAACATTTTGCTGGCAATATCCTTGTCCCAACAGAGTAGTTGGTAATTTCAGAGCAGCTGGTCCCATGCAGCATGAGGCCAACAGCTGTTAAATATCTGCTATCTTTAAGAACACACCGCATGCTCCCATCTCAGGACCTCAGCCACCTGCGAGCTCTTGAAGTGTGGAATGTCAGTGGTGAGACCAGCCCAGCCCTTCAAGAGACAGCTTCCCCCACTGGAGGCGTGCTTTTCTTGCCTGGGTCAGGCAACATCCAAGGAGCAGGAATAAGAATGGGATGTAGGGTGGTTTGTAGTGCTCATGCTTACACTGCCATTCCTAAGTGGTCATGCCTAAACAGCAGCCATAGGTTCAATGATGGGCACAGCCTCTCCCCTGCACACCACAGTCTGCACAGAGCAGTCCTCTTTGGAGATGCAGTATAACCACTGATAGCTGTACAGATCTAAGCCACAATATACTGATAAATGTGCAATCTGCTGATAATGTATTAGATTTAGATATCTGCCTGATGTGGAGGTATGAGATGTGTTGTTAGGCTGTAACGCTTTACTTGACTTCCTTGCTGACACTGTTGTGTAGACTGGGATACTATTAACCTTGTTGTAAAGTGTGTTAATATGAGTGCTCTCCTTGTTGAATGCTTCCTTACCATTTTCACATGCTCTTTGCTTTGCTGTATGAGAACACCTCTTCTTGGCTCTGTTAAGCTCAGGCCAACGTTGTCAACCCACGAGGAGGATGTAGTCACCCCATTTTCACTAGAAGCTTCAAATATCTTGCCTCAACCTTATCTTCTTGTCACTCTTTCATGTTGGTGATAACGGGCTTTGACGTGTGGCTGAAGATGTGCGCTCTCCTCAAGCAGCAGGCAGGAGTAGCTGGCACTGAGCAAGCTGTGGAGCAGGCTGGGGCAGTAGATGTGTAACCCTCCAGTGTCCTGAGATAACACTCAGGGGCTGAAGCACCTGCCAGCACTACTAAAATGATACCCAATAGAAAGTCTCTGCACAGGGGTAATCATACCTTTAACTGCGGCAAAGATACAGCTGTTAACTCCTATTTATAAGCTTTCTGAGACCAAATGCATTTATCACTTGGGCCAACTCTGAGATTAGTCCGGTAACAACAGGGGAGAGGGGAAAACATTATTTAAAGTCGTCAAAGTATTTTAAAGCAAGTTTTGGAAAAAAAAGCTGCTGCCTTACATAAGGTAAAGGAACTGAAGGCTGGAAAGGTACAGTTATCCCTGTGTTTGAAATGTCCTGTCCAGGGACCTGGACTGGACATGGAAAAAATGCCATTTTTAGCTCATATAGAACGTAAAGTGAAGAGAACCCTAGAGGCTGCATGGGAGGTAACAGCTCTGTTTTCTAATGAAGGCGGGGATGGAAGGTTGAAATAGCTGGCATTATATAAATATTTTTTAAAGTCTCATTAAAAAATATGTTACTTTTAGTTCACAGATTTCACAGGGTGAGGAAATATTGGTTGGGTTTTTTGGTAGAATGAAGGAAACCTCCCTATTTGCCGGCCAGATATGTGTGTCTATTGTATCCTTGGCCATATGGGCAATTTCAGCTCTGGGGAGAGGAAAGCTTTTCAGTTAACTGTAGAAGCGTCTGGAGGAGAAGACAAGCATACAGCTAGTTAAATTATGTATTTGCCTTCACAGGTGTAATTAGTTTTTTTCATTTGTGTTGGATTTAATATGGAGGGATGCTTCTTTCTTTCCAGTCTCGGTGCTCGGCTGAGAAACCGGTGGCTTGGCAGTCTGCCTCACTAAGTGCTATCAAAAGGAGGTAAGACACAGCCTTAGAAAGATCTGGGTTTATGCAAGAAACAGGGAATCCTCAGGTATGATAACCTTCCCATTATCTACTTTAAAAAAAAAAATCATTTAGCTCCTGTTCAGTTGATTATGCTGAAAAGTGGAGAAAACCTGACATCAACAGACCAATCTATACAAAGGGCTGCTGAACTACATCAGCCTCTCACTGAAACTCTGCCTTCACAGGGAAGCTGGTGTTGAGCAGCAGCCAAAGAAGTTTGGCACTGGACTCAACTTCTGTGCAGGCCTGGAGGGGCCTTTCTGGCATGTGACCCATGGGCTAAGCCCTGAGCTTGCATGGAAAACAGCAGTTTTTCTTTTCTGCAAGAACCACTAGAGAATATCATCACGGCAGCCTGAGCAGAAGCAGTGGCTAAGAAGCTGCAGATCCATCTCAGAGCAGGTTGCTGCAGAGCTTTCTCTCTGGGTAGTGTGCTGGGTGCTGAGATACGTAGAGACTTTTTATCTGCTGGAAACGGTAAGCAAGACCTTTCATACTGCTGAGTAATTGCTCCTTGTGTAGGTTGCTAAGAGTCTTTCTTCCTCAGCTTTGTGAGAACGTGGCCAGGATCCTGGATCATTAGCAGAAGAAAAAAGCACTGACATATAGCACATGAGGAATGAACAGGCTTCAGCATGCGTATCAAATTATTTATTTGTATCAAAAAGAGCTGGCTTAATGACATATGTTTGGTAAGGCAGCTTAGGATTTCTTTAAAAAACAACAACAACAAACAGAAAAAAAAACCCCAAACCACTACAACAATGACAACAAAACACCCCTGGCCATATGAGACAGGAGGAGTAATGTAGTGACAACGTCATGTAGAAAATGTGTGAGTAGTGAAGAATAAACTGGACTGTGTTAGGCAGTGCAACTTTGCATAGTTCATGGGCAATTAATCTGATTTGGGTACAGTGGATGTGTAAAACCACAGTCCCCATTAGCTATAGCAGATGTCGCAGCTCCTATCTCTTCTGAAGAAGTCATCGGCCATGGCCATGGGCGGTAGGTAGTCCATGCAGTCTGTGCTGGGGCAGGGGAAGTACTGCGGGACCCTGTGGTCCACGTGCTGGGAGCCACAGGCGGTGCAGCAGCAGGCAGAGGTGGTGTACGGGGAGGGGTTATGGCAGGGGGCCCCCCACCCCAGGGGAGCCCTAGGCCTTGGTGTCCAGAGCAGAGGGTGGGCTGTGGGTCAGCGGAGTGAAAGGAGATAGCTGAGGAGGAGAGCAGCTATAGTTTAATGGGCTGGACAGGTCAGCTGAACTGGGGGATCCGGCAGCCTAGAGTTTGAGAGGGAAAAAAAACAAACCAGGATGTCTCAGGGTGTCATTTGGGGAAATGTGGACAGCAGCCAGAATTTCCACACCGTTGCCTTTCTCAGGAGGGTCTGGCTACCTAGGGAGATGGTTCAGCCCTTGGAGGCCTAAACCCAAGAGGCAGTTCCTGTGACATTAGTGTTAATAGGGAGCTTCTCTGCGAGTTAGACAACGGCTAGCAGGAACTGGACTATTCTTTGCAGGAAATCTACAGGATCTGTAGAAGGGACATTCCCTATTCTGCAGTCTCTCTCTAGGTTTGGCTGGGCCTCCCTGTCCTCTGCTCCCAATGGGAAACCATGCAGAAGTCCACACAAGCAGCTTGCATTGCTGTGGCTGTACCCCATGCCCCTAAAAGCAGCCACATTTCCAAATCAGCTTGCTGCTGTTCTGCCCCAGGATGTGACTCCCTTCCCCATATTCCCTCCGAGTGCACCTGTGGCTGCTCCCCTGGGACATAAAGCTTACCAGGCCCTGGTTAAAGCAGAGTGGGACTGGCTGGAAGGCATCTGAGGTGTAGTGCGAGGACGTCTGGAAAGCACTGAAGGCTGGGTCTAAGGGCGCATCTGTCTGTAGACAGGAATCTACCAGCTGCTCCAAATAGCTAGGGTTTTCTTCGCAGGAGACGCAATTCGAAAACTGCCATGATGGACAATAGTTGGGAACAGAAGAGATGGGTTCTGCATCAAAAGGTGCTAGGAGAGAAGGTAAACCAGACAGTAGCAGATTATTCAGTATCTCTCTTCGCAAAGGGCAGGTGTTGCCCCAGGTCAGGCTTCAGTACTCTCGTATGTTTAGTAGCCCTATGGATTTAGACAAGAAAAAAGGTCCTTCAAGTTTAGGGTGAATTTTCTAGGGAAGCAGACACTAAGAGGAAGATGCTCAAAAGCATGCAAATAACTTGGGAACTTTAGTCCCCTTGGAAAGCTCCAAAGTTTTTTAAATGCTGCTGGAAACTCTTCTGGCTCCAGCCATTTTGGACAGGGATCCAGCTGGAAACTCCCTCAGACTCTTGACCCTCTGGCCTCCCTTCAAATGTCAACTGTTTACAGACCTAGAAGCTTGCCGTGCAGTGATTTATGCTTCACAGCTTGGCAGATGGCTTGCGCCTTTGCCTCACCCAGTCTCCAGATGCAGGGTAGCTACATCTGCAGGAAGAAGGGGATAACAGAAGAATAATTTGCTCTTTTATCCTCCAAACAGCCAGACAGGAGACAAACTTCTGAGCAGACAAAATGGAGCAAGTCAGTGATAACCTGGCCCTGCGTCCACGTACTGTTACTGGCAAAAGTGCGAGTTCCTAGAAAGCTGTAGGGTCAGACTCTCACTGTACTGCAACATGCTTGCTGGGGGTATGAAAGATCTGACTTTTCAGAATTATTACCTTTTCATGCCGTGTTCAAATACGGTTAAAAGCAAAGCCCTGACAACATGGAGGAACACAGGTCTGAGGGCAATGGAACTGCACGTGGGTAGAGAGTCACTCAGAGTTGTAACTGTTTGCAGGTTCAAGGTGGCAGTGTTTAGCTGGATGTGGGGAGGAAGTGAGAAGCACCCAAAATACATAAACAGATGGAGACTTTCCAGCCTGAAAAAGCTTTGGTATGTCTCACGTTTCTGTATTAACATAAGCAAATTGATTCCCAAATATTGATGATTTATTCATTTCCTTGTCCATGCAATGTATATATTCACACCTGCGCAACATTTTAGGTCTCTCTGCTTTGGCTGCAGAATAATTGAAGGATCTGTGAGCCCAAAGTGCTATTCCCCCCACCCCTTTCTCCTTTCCTTGGATATTCACATACAGGAAGAGGAAACTCTCTGTGTTGCTGAAAACCTGACACTCCCCTTGCTCCTACAGGTGTTGCCAGGAGAGTGAGAACAGCCAACTCTGCTGGAGCTCGGCAAAGTGCTCCAGGGCAATCTGACCCTCTAGCTCCAATCGGACCCACGGACTGCAGCCTGGAGAAGGTGATGCCAGCAGTGTTATTGCCTCGGGGACGAGCATCCCTTCCCGAAGGGGATATCGCTCCTTGCTGTGTGAAAAATAAACTGCACAGATGAGAGCATGTGAGCGTGCTCCTGATAGGGGTAATATGTACACTGCTGGCCTCACGGCATCCTCATCTGCATTTCACGGGCTCCTTTCAGGTGCTGATTGGCTGCACTGCTGGTTTTCTGGTAGTGCCTGCCTCAACCAAGGGCTAGAAAGTCTCCGGGCTGTGGGAAAAATTGGGAAGGGGGTGGGAAGGGACATGTGGATGGGCTTTGTACCAACCTGGGTGAGGAGGAGACACAGACTCTGAAAACTGGATGCTGCTGCTGCCCCAAGAAACCTGACCAAAGAGAAGGGAAGAAAAGGAATTGTATACACTGTAACACTGGGGAGCATTTTTCTGCATGCCGAGGTAAGTCAGGATTTCGCTTCAACCTATTTACGTAAACCTTATTTACCTCACGGCTGTGACATGAGGTGTGAAAACTTCCCTAGCATTGACAGAACAAGATTAATGTGCATAACATGATTTTTCCCTGAGCCTATAACGGCACTGGAGGAGCACAACACCAACCTGGTGTAAAGCCCTTGATATAGCACCTTGCTAGTGCGCTCTTCCTACTGCATTATTACCGTTAATTCAGCAGAGATGTGGCTGCCTTTGAAACTAACGTGTTAATTTCTAGGACCATGAATTCCACAGTGGAGGGATCCCAAAGAATTTGTAGGGATAAATATGATTGAGAATGAGTAATTAACAAATCGTAGCAATAACTCTTGAAACATGACTTAAAGACAATTGCAGGTATTCCCATGGCTGGGCATCAGACTGGGTCACCGTGCTTGGTGTTGATGTCATTTGAGAACCGGCTCTGACATCACTCCCCACTCTAACACAGCTACGTGCCTCTATGAAAATGGACAGTCTCATTTTCTGAGGGATGCTGGAAGCTGAAGAGGACAGATCAATCTGTTCTAGGAACCTGACCTGCTGGAGGGGAGAAATCCACCCCAAAAGCAACAGGAGTTTTGATGCTTGTTGTTTGGGACCAGGATTTTACTCTGCAAATACAAACACTGGTTTGTTTCCTCAGTTTTAATTCATACAGACTTCCACTTCATTTTCCTTATTCAAAACGCTCTTGAGTTAGTAGCTCATTTCCCCAGCAACAGCTTCCTAGCACATCCCCGTGCATTTAATTCATTAAACAGTGGCTATTCTGGGCTGAAATTGCCTGTAGGACTACCCCTCTTCTCTTTGGCTGCAGATGTGTAACAAGGCAGACAGAGCCATACCACCAGCAGCAGTAGTTTTCAGGTTCAGCTTTTTTCAGTGCACGGAGGCGGCTTATCCTGCCGGCCCTAACCTCTGGGGCCTCTTCAGGACAACGCGTACCTTTTGCAGATCACAAAGGTAACCTCCTGCACTGCCACTTTTCACTTTTTCCTCTGTGGGCAAAAGAAGCGCTGTATAAACTCGCTGTGGGAAGCGAAAACCAGTTCCACGCAGCCCTGTGATGCCTGGCTGCGATGAAGAGGCTGCTTCCGTTAGGGCTGGAGGGGAGGAGTGACCCAGCATTTCCAAAGCCCAGCAGTTTTGTGCACTCTTCACCCAGGCGCCTCTGCCTGTGGCTTGCAGGCTGATCAGCTTTTTGTGCAATCAGCTGCAATGAGGTACAGGAGGTGAGAGATGGAATCTGAAAACCATCCAAAGCCGTAATGTCATGAACCAGGAAGAAATAATGATTTACCAACCTCTTTATGCAAATCCCTAGAGTGGCTGGAGCTAGAGGACTCCTACAAAGACTGGAAGAGTGAGT